AGTTTATATATTAAAGACATAAATCTTATAAATTTTCGATGGTTCTAATATCACATTTTCTAATATCACTTCAAGCACTGAACTATTCAAACTATTTGAAGAAATGTGGGCATTAACAGTACGTCATGCGCAAGTATTATTCATTATCATCCAGATTAATTCTAAATGGATTTTATCGATCTAAGTAAATAAGTGTTATTAGGGTTTGTGTTAAATTTTATAGATACTTCTAATCTAGTCTTCCAGCGTATAAATACAATATTTGTGGAAAGTTATACAATTAAATGAATTATAATAAAAAAAACTTTACAAAAATTTATATACGTCCGAAAACTAGAGGGAAAAAGCCAATATTTGTAAATATAACGTATAATTGTGCTGTTACTTTAATCACAATTTAATGCGTGACATTCATATTTTGATATCATGCCATATATATGCCAAGGATTAAATAAACTAAGACTTTTTACTATTATATTTTATAAAAGATCTATGTGCGTCTTGAGCTGAGACTTATTTTACGTAATAAGAGTATTATAGCAAAATCGATATTATCATATTTTAATAACGTCGCACATATTTAAATGAATATATGCGTTTCATTTAATTTAAAAGATTATGTAAAAGATATCGATAATCTAATAATACAATGCTATAACTTGAAGATTTTATAGTCTGCTAAAACTTTTAAGTAAAAAATATAGATTCAAATTGATATAAAAATATTTTGTATTTTTCTTTCCATCCTATTTGATTCCTATTTGATATTTAATGCATATTGATAATATACATAATATTGGGTCATTTAAAAAGTATCCGCGGTTTTTTGTTCAATTTTTGAATAAAATGAAATTTTTCTTTATTGAAAATCAATTTTAATCAAGTATATATTGGCCATTATTATCTATAACCTTTTGCCATTTTTCAGGTAATTTCATAATTCCATCCGTGTAGAACTTCTGTGGTTTATCGGCGAAAAACTTTTTCAAGTGATTTTCGGCAGCTCTTTTGTCGGTCAATGTTTTTCCATCAAGAGAGTTCTGCAGAAATCGAAACAAATGGTAGTCAGACGGTGTAAGGTCCGGACTATACGGTGGATGCATCAAAACTTCCCAACCAAGCTCCCTCAATTTTTGGCGCGTCATCAAAGATGTGTGTGATCTGACGTTGTCATGATGGAAGACAACACCTTTTCTGTTTATCAATTCTGGTCGTTTTTCCTTAATCGCTTCGTGTAATCTATCCAGTTGTGAACAGTAGAGCTCTGAATTAATCGTTAGGCCATGTGATAACACCTCATAATGGACGACTCCCTTCCAATCCCACCATACACACAGCATCATCTTATTTGCCATCAATCCAGGCTTTGAAGTTGTTTGTGGTGGTTCGCCGCGCTTACCCCATGATCTTTTACGAATTCTTGATATTCTTGTATTTTATCCATTTTTCATCGCCCGTGACGATTTGCTTCAGAAATGGGTCGATTTCATTGCGTTTTAATAGTGTTTCGCTGATGGAAATTCGATCAATCAAATTTCTTTGCGTTAATTCATACGGCACCCAAACATCGAGTTTCTTTGCGTAGCCAGCCTTTTTCAAATGATTCCAAACTGTCACATGGTTGATTCTTAGTGTATTGGCTATCTCCTGACAGCTCACATGCCGGTCTTGCTCGACCAGTTGCAAAATTTCATCGACTTTTTCAGTGACTGGCCGACCAGAGCGAGGTCGATCTTTGATATCAAAATTTCCAGAACGAAATCGAACAAACCACTCCTGCGTCCTGCGTTCACTTACAGCATCCGCGCCGTAAACTTCACAAATTTTTCTGCATGTTTGTGCTGCGTTTTTGCCTTTTTTGTAGTAAAAAAGCATCACATAACGTATTTCTTCAGAAATTTCACTCATTTTCAAACCAATATAACTTTTGACACAATTGATGAATTACTAAACTTTGTTTACAAAAAATGTAACCTAAAATGTCATCTTTCAAACGCGCGTTCGTTTGACACAATCGGATTAATATTGTCCGATACATGATAACACCATCTAGTGACAAAAAACCGCGGATACTTTTTAAATGACCCAATAATTTGTAGTAAATAAATTTAATATCGGTTTGCTTTTTTTAACTTCTTTATCTTGAATGCAAAGAATACAAAGGCCCCTATTCTGTAATTTTTAACGATATAATAGTATCAACGATATAACAATTATATATTGTTGTACAGTATTTTTATCATATACATATATAATACCTACACATTAACAACATAACAATACCATCACTCATTAAGAGTTGCAGAATAGTACAAAATAAGAGCTAAGGCCCACAATCATGATCAAAAAAGATTGGACGGAGTATTTTCAGAAAAGGTCGGAGGAATAGTAAAACCCACCACATACATTCAAGTAAACTTGTCAAGTGGTTTTGCGCAAGCATACTTGACAAGTCTACTTGAACGTATGTGACTGGTCTTAGGGCACTTCAACTAAACTATACCGGTAGAGATATATACAGCGCATTTCGACTAAATTCGCTCAAATGCTTCGGATATATTTAGTTCGGATATATTTTATACAAGTATTATGTGAGTGTAGTGTTGTAATAAGAGAAGAAAAAAACTCAGGAAAAAAAAAACGGGAGAAAACGGAAACAATAAAATAATCTTTTTTGAATTCCCACCGTTTAAGGGAAAAAACCCGTAATGTTTATTAAAATTGTTTTATTTGATGTTGCAAAAAATATTGCAAATACTGCTTTGTTTAATGTTGCATTGTTTTATTTACAATTTATTATATTTACAATATATAGAGATTATCACATTTAAAGTTAATAATGAAATGAAATCGAATAGTTTATAGAAATTTTCTGATTCTAGTTATCAACTTATTTTGAACATCTTCACAAAAATATTCATTGTAATTTTAAGCTTATATACATTTTTTAAAATTGTTTTTCATGCTTAGCTTCAAAAGTGCTAAAAAATTGCAGTAATGATATTTTTATATTTCTATAATTACTTATATTTTATTATGTAATAATATTCTATAATAAAATGTATTAAAAAAATATTTTAACACAGAAGTGTTTTATATTTTGTGTTATATTAAATGGAAACTTTTAAAAATAGAATAGATTAGACAATTAGAACAAAAAGAAGTGAAGTATTTAATTTAAAAAATTACATTAAAAAAACGATTTTTTTTTCCGGTGCCAGGTTTTTTCCGAGAAAAATACGGGAGAAGAAAGGTTTCTTTCCCAACAATTAAAATTTCGGGAAAATACAACATTATAGGTGCGTTCGGAGAGGTGCTGTTTGTGTTATTCTATCTTCATCACTTATTAGACATAAAAGGATAGAATGACATAAATAGCACTAATAGCGTCTCTCCGAACGCATCTTATATATGAGTGTATAGTATATGTGTAGTTATCACCATAGCTATCACACAAGAAAAGCATAAATAAATAATACTGAAATGATCTGCACCTGATCAAGAAGATTTCTCCTTACCGCTAAACTTGGATTCCTAATCGGCACTCAGCAGCATATCTGCACATGCTCTGTCCAGGTTAATTCTTTGATCCGGATTACGGATCATTAATTACGCCACTGGAAATAGTGAAAGTAAGCATCAAAAGAATTATGCTACCACATCGATTGCCTCCTGGATATCATATGAATATCAGATATATGACATTATTTCACCAGAAGTGTCGACAGGATTTTTATCCATCCAGTAATGTAAAAAGATTTACAGTACCGGATGAAAAAATACCATGGACAGTCGAGTATCCCGAATATAAACCGGTTGTGTATACCGCTGCTGCTCTTAAGGATAAATCCTGGGCCGATCCAGAAATCAATGAACCTACTTTCAAACCAAAATGGAATGCGATGGATGGTAATTACTTTTTTTCTATTCCTCTAATTGATAAATGCAGTTAAAAATTAAAAAATTAACGATGAAAAAATAAAAAATAATAAAGGAAATCTCAAATCAATTTCTAGGTTAACATAAAATAGATCAACATTGCGCATGCGAGACAAGGGGGCTATTCCGAAGCCTGTCCTTTTAGAACTGAACTTTTGCACCAGTTCATTTTTTTTTCTTTTCTCTTCAAGAAGAAAGAAGAGAAAGAAAGATGAACTGGTGCAAAAGTTCAGCCAAAAAGAATAAGCCTCTGATATAATATATTACTGTCAGTACTAAAAATCTGTAGAGAAAAGGTCCCACTGGTGAAAATTTTTCTCAGAATATTTCATACAATTTTTCAAAATTTCTATATAATTTTATAATTTTCTCACATTTTTTATATGAATTGGAATACTTCTCAGAAAATCTACATCTTTTCTCAGAATTTTTCATATAATTAAATTATAAAATATCGTAAAATTTCTAAGATTTTTGTAAATATAATTTCTGATGAAATGTTATAAAATCTAAAAAATTTAAAAATATTTTTTTAAAATTATGGGATGAGAAATTTCAGAATATTTCAGAATTCACTTGTATAAAAAATTCTGAGATGTAAACTTTCCGAATATTTTGGAATATTTCCGAAAAAATTCCAATTCGAATAAAAATTATGAGAAAAATTTTTACCAGATATACTATGAGATATCGAGTTCATTTTAAGTAAATTCTGAAAGTGTATAAGCAGAATTAGCAAAAATAATAAGTCATTTTAAAGGAAATTTAATAAGCTTTAAGATACTGTTTAAAGTTAATTCAAATACTATTTTTTCTGAAAGTTAAAGAAATGTAAAAAGTGAGCAAATTACAAAGTCAAAAAATTGTGCTCATAATATGAGATACCTTGAGAAATCGATAATAAAGCGCAAAGTACAATTTTAATTAAAAAATGTTATTTAATGTTTCTAAAATACAAACAGCCAATGTGCGCGCAATGAGTGTTGTACCCAGGACTCGTCTAGATAGTTAGAACCAAGCATCGCAGAAACAGGAATTCGATGTTCATTCTGATTATTCTTTTTATTACTGTAATATAACATTCATACTTCAACAACGATTGTCACTCAGACAGACTTAGGAGCATTAGAAGTACCCTAAAGTATCTCATATTACGAGTTCCACACCTTATGTTTTATGATCATCAAATCTAACTTCTGTAATTAAACAATTCAATATATTTCATATTTTTCTATTAGTATGATCTTCTATCACTACATAAAGAACTTGTTGTCAAATATTTATTAATTAAATAATAAATAAGATTTAAAGACTCATTTCAATGAAACTTGAAGACATCTAAATTCTAAAATCTTTTTTTATGACTACAGACATGATCTAATAATGCATTTTCCAATAAATAATTTTTAACCTAAGAGCAATGCATTCATGGTGGAATCAATAGATAGCATTTATTAATTTAGCAGAAACGCTGTTCTCATATTAGGTGCTTACCTTATAATAGTAGGCTTTCCTCTAATAAGTGTAATGTAAACGTAATGTACAGATTTTTAAAATTGGCAGTGTACATTAGAACACAGCCTCTGTATTAACTTTTCTTATAAATTATATTTGAAATATAATAATTTTTGATACATAGACAAGGTGAATCGAAAGAGTTTTATGGGTAACTATGTCGTAAACGCTAATGGTTACCCCTTAAATCCTGTGGGACGAACTGGTATCGTTGGACGAGGACTTCTCGGTCGATGGGGACCAAATCACGCTGCAGATCCTATTGTTACACGGTGGAAACGCGATAATGCAGGAATTGTAGAAGTAGACAAGCAAACAGGAAAACCCGTGTTACAATTCGTCGCAATACAGAGGCGAGATTCCGGTGAATGGGCCATACCAGGGGGAATGATTGATTCAAATGAAACGATTTCTACCACGTTAATGAGAGAATTCATGGAGGAAGCGCTGAACTTTTTAAAAATGAATGATGCTGAAAGAAAGATTCTTCAAAATTCTATAATGGAATTCTTCACAAAAGGTGACGAGATTTACAAGGGATATGTGGACGATCCGCGAAATACTGATAACTCTTGGATGGAGACAGTAGCTATAAATTTTCACGACGAGGAAAATAATATCGTTGGAAAGTTGAGATTGAAGGCTGGAGACGATGCGCGTAATGTAAGATGGATGGATTTAAATAAAGAAATAAATTTATATGCCAATCATAGTGATTTTGTAAACACAGTTGTGTCGCGACGCAAAGCGCACTGGTAAAACGCAGTGTATAATTACCTCGATAATCTCATATAGGATAAGAAAATATTAAAAAACTAAATAATTATTTAAAAAATTATTTTGTATTATACTATATGTACACATATACTATACCTACATATATCTATAAAATACTACAGAGCACAAGAGTAATAAACATTACTGTCGTCAAACTATGCTATAAAATCTTACATTTAATACACGTTTTTAGAGATAAAATAAGATCATTTAACGCAAGAACTGAAAATATACATTTAAAAATATCGATTACATATTGTATTAAATTTGTAAAGGTACAACATCCAATCTTCAAATTTAAATCGTTTCCTATTGTATATTTTCATAATTCTTTTCACGCACATCACAATCGTGATCAAACTTAAACACGAATTAAATGTAACATATATATATATATATATATATA